GGGGACCCAAGTCCCCAAGGGTTAAAGCACTCAGACTTGGCAGGTGGCCCTTGTTTTCACTCCTTGATCCCAGGTACAAGGCAAAGAAGAAAGATGATAGAAGAAGAAAAAGACAAAAGAAGAAATCACTCATTTGATCCATATTGCACAGACTGACACCCCTGCTAGGACCATTGATGGAAGGGATCATTGTCCCGAGATCCCATGTCTGGGTCTTGGGTAGAGGGGCCTCCATGCCCTCTGGGATGTGTCTCCCATGTCTGAGACCATTCCTGAAAGGGGGACAGTGGCAGCCTAGGAATTGTGTCTGTGTCCAGGTTCTTGTCCCCTGCTCACTTTGTGCCCAATCTCTCAGGACCCCATGGAGCTGCACATTCTGCAGAGTGAAGGATTCTTCTGAAAGCCGACAGTGCCATCAGGAATCTGGGATCCTGGAGAGGCGGATGCGGCCTGCAGATCAGCTGGTGAGTTGGCTGCAAGCCCCGAGCCTTCTCCTTTCCTTCAATCCGTGAGTAGGATGACCATCCAAAGGGTCAAGGGAAGGACACCCAAATGGAGCCATCAGAGACTTGCTGAAAAAAAACCAAACCCGCTGCCATCAAGTCAACCTTGTTGGGTTTCTGAGGCTGTAAATCTTCACAGAAGTAGATTGCCCCAATTTCCTTCCACTGAGCAGCTGGTAGGCTTAAACTGTTGACCTTCTGGTTAGCAGCCAAATGCCCTATCCACTACACCACCAGAGCTCCACAAGGTCTTGCCGAGATGATGGCAATTTAACATTAAAACAGACTCAGAACACAATCCAGCCCATCCTGTGGTACTTTGGCAAACTTGGCCAGAAGGCCGCTTGGTAAACATTCACGTATCTGGGGGCAGGCCCGGCCTCCCATTCTCTGTGTCACAGTTCATATCACTCCTTAAAGCCTTCTCCCCATTTTACAGAAGTGTGAGTTCCTTCTCTTGAAGGCCTACTGCCATCCACAAAGCTCCTTCTTTGCAGACACTCCACGGAACGTAAGTCCCCTTTTGTGATTCGCGTCATTGGTTGCTATTGTTAGCTGCTGCCAAGTCAGCCCCCGTCTCATGGTGACCCCCATGTACAAGGGAATGAACACTGCCCCTTCCTGCCCCATCCCTGTGATCAGTTGGGGATTGGACCATTTTGTGATCCGTAAGCCTTTCATTGGCTGATTTTAGAAAGAAATTGCCAGGCCTTCCTTCTTATCAGTCTGAGCCTGGAAGCTCTGATGAAACCTGGTTAGCATCTTTGTAACACACAAGCCTCCACTCGCCAGAGCTCCACTTACACAAATGTACGTGGTGGGCTTAGAACAGCGCCTGGCATGTAGAGGCCAGATGTTGTTACCATTACTACCCTGGACAGAAAGGACAGTATTATTTCAGTGGGTCTGTACAAGTGGTGACGGCGGTGCTAGCATCACCCCTTTTGTGGCTTTGTCCCAGCTTCGAGATTACGCCGAGCCCTTTAGGGAAGCCATGTGGCTGGACCTGGTGAAGGAAAGGATGCTTCAGAAAATGTACACAGTGCCGTGGTTTGTGCGGGATATGCGTCTGATCTTTTGTAACCACAAAACCTTTTACAAGGTAAGGGGCATTTCCTGCTTCCCTTTCGTGTCCTCTCCACTGGCCCCTAACTTCTGGGACAGCAAGCACAGCACCCAGTCTTATCCTGGGGAGGGTTCACGCAAAGCAAGGGCTACACGGGGAAACTGCTCCCACCTTCCAGGGGTTGAGGAAAAGAACAAACCTGTTGCTGTCAAGCCAGTTCTGACTCATGGTGGCCCCACGGGTGCAGATAAAACTGCTCCATAGGGTTTGCATGGCTGTGAGCTTTCAGACACAGATTGCCAGGCCTTTCTTCCTGGGCGCCTCTGGGTGGGTTCAAATGGGCAACCTCTCAGTTAGTGGCCAAACAACCATTTGCACCACCCTAGGGTTTAAGGAGTGGGTGGGAGATCTCAGCAAGCAGGAGCGAGGGTCCTTGTGAATAGTACTAAGGAGGCCTTCCTCGGTTCCCAGACAGGCAGCTGCTCCACTGAGAACAGTAAGTTGCTTTCCGGTCACCTTGTTCACATTGGGGGCAGAGAGTTTATGCTTTTATTGTTCTTCCCATCTCAGAAATGAAGAAATGAATGACTTGATTAAAGAAAATAAAATAAACCAAACTTCCAGGATGCTCACATTTGGATTTGTTTACATCTCAATTTCCCAGTGGGCTTAGACATCTGGAATTGACCTCGGGTACAGTGTTGTGTGTATGTGTGTTCACAGTGTTGGTTAGGAGCTCCTAAGTGGTGCAGATGGTTCTGTGCTTTACTATTAACAGAAAGGTTGGTGGTTCAAACCCATGCAGAGGTGCCTTGGAAGGGAGGCCTGGTGATGTCCTTCCGAGAGGTCACAGTCTTGAACACCCCATGCAGCAGTTCTATTCTGCACACATAGGGTCACATGAGGTGCAATGGATTCGATGGCAACCAACAACAATAGTGTTAGTTTCTCGCTTCATCACTAGAAAGTTGAGTTAGCTGGAAATCCAAGCCATTCTAAACTTTGTTAATGGACTTCCCCCTGATTTTTATTCTCTTGGGGGGATTTTTATTCTCTATTTCTTGGGAGGACTGTAACGAAGATTTTAGCTGCACCTAGCCTCTTCCTCCTACTCCATGCCAGGAGTTGGCTCCTTCACAAACCAGCAATTATAATCTAGTGTCGTGGCTAAAGCACTTGACTGCTAACCAGAAGGCTGGCGGCTCAAACTCACCAGCCACTCCTCAGAAGGAAGGTTGGGCAATCCTACTTCCATAGTGATACTGCCTCGGAAACCCAAGGAGGGGTCGCTATGAGTTGAGGCCGACTAGATGGCACATAACAACAACAACGTCCACACCCACAGCTGGAGGGACAAAGAGCTGACCCAGTGAACCTCTAGGCCGGGCACAGTCTTAGTCTTGGAGAATAGAAGGGTCATCCTCTCTTGAAAGACTGGGCTTTCAAGAAACTTCCTCTTTATCTATTTTGCCCCAAACATTATGCTCAAGTTTTTTAATGATCACAACCAACTCTTCAGTCCACGTCACCTGTAGGACCCAAGTTAACAGTTGAGCATCATCTCATCTGTTTCAATATTTCATGGCAGCTTCTCCCCAACCCCCAATTCTGCCTTATGGGGAAGGACAGCAGTCAGGGAAAGGTAGGAGGGCCCCCCAAAACTGTGGGTGATTCCATCATCTACTGGCTTTGCTCTTTTCTCTTTCAGACCTCCCACCTCAGTCAGGTGGGACTTGATTTAGAGGCAGAATTTGAAAACAATCTCAAAGAGGTGTTTAGTTTTCATGAAGCCAACGAAAACAGTTTCCTGGCTCCTCCGTGATGCTGTTCCAGAGACTCTGAGCACGTAGCACCCTGCTAACCTCAGGACCCTATGGTTGGGACCCTGGTGGGTTCTTAGATCGTCACTGAGTCCAGGATATTGCTGCCTTTCCTCTTGATGTGAAGCCAGACAGACACTTCACGGCATCATCACACCCTCCACTATCTTCAGTTGTTCCTTTTTATACCTGAAAAATTATTTTATGCCTAAAGTTCTTAATACTTCCTTTATATCACCAAGTACCCAGTCACAGTCTGAATTTTCCCTGGTGTGTCACAAATCTATTTTTGTAGCTGATTTGTTTCAAGGACCCAAACAAATCCCACACACTGTGTTTAGCTCATCTGTCTCGTGTGTCTCTGAAGCAATAATCCCCTTTTTCTTTCTTTGCCGTGTATTTGTTGAAGAACCCATATGTCCTATAAAAATTTTCACATTTTTTCAGTTGCATCCCCTTGGTGGGGTGTTCCTCTCTCCCCCGCATTTTTTGTGAACTCATAGATCTCGAGGTCCCTAGGTGGTCAAGTTTGAGCTTGACTGCTCACCAAAAGGTTGGTGATTCAAACCCACCCAAAGATACTACAGCAGAAAGCCCTGGTGACCCGCTTCTGTTAAGATTTCAGCCTAAACAACCCTACAGAACAGTTCCATACAGGGTCACCATGAGCGAGAATCCACTTTATGGCAACTAACGACAGTTAGTTTACAGTCAGGGTTGAGGAGTTTTGTTTAGTTTGATTTTCTGGCAAGTGGACTTCCCAGGTGGGGAATGTGTATGTCAGGTGTGATGTTAGGATCACCCAGCAGGTTCAGTGAGTTCCGCCCGACCTGTCTGTTACATGGTACATCAGCCTCCTTTCACCTAACATATTTAGCAGCCCTTGATGAACGTTGCCTAACTTCACTATCTCACAAGGGCTTGCACAATGATGACAGTCAGATTCCAGCATACTTTCTGCATGTAGTCATCAGAATTCTTCTGCAGAAACTCCCTTCAGCAATATTTGCTTGCCTTCATATGCAGATTGTACAGGAATGGCAAGATAAGTGCTTGATTCTTTTTTTGAGTGGTGTCCAAAACACTGACACATCCTGTAGAGGTGGCCACGTTCAGTTTCTGAACATGGATGTCTAGTTCCAGCATCATTTGTTGAACAGACTGTCTTTTCCCCCATTGGACTGGCTTTGCTCCATTGCCAAAGGCCTCCATTCACTACCATCAAGCCAATTCCGACTCATAGCAGCCCTGTAGGTCAGAGCAGAACTGCCCCATAGGGTTTCCAAGGCTGTCAAACCAAACCCATTGCCGGTGAGTGGATTCTGACTCACAGTGCCCCTAGAGGTCAGAGTAAAACTGCCCCATGGGGTTTCCAAGGCTGCCAATCTTTACAGAAGCACACTGCCTTATCTTTCTCCCATGGAGCAGGAAGTAGGTTTAAACTGCTGACCTTTTGGTTAGCTGGCAAATGCTTAACCACCACACCACCAGGGCTCCTGTGCCAAAGATCACTTGACTGTATTTGTTTGGGTCTATTTCTGGACTCTATTCTGTTCTATTGATCTATTTGCCTGTTCACTGGCCAAGACCACACTGCACTGATTCCTTTCATGCTATCTTTGGCTATATTTTTTTTGCTTTTACCCTCTCCAATATTTTGGAAGGCGTTGCATCAGCTTCAAGTCTTTCCACATCTACCTGTAAGTTTTCCAAATGCATTTTAACTTTTTTTTTTTTTTT